TTGCATTTGCCTGAGAGCTCTGAACGCTCTGTATGCAGCTGTGAGTCTGGCCTTGCAGAAGGTAGGGTAGCGAACTAGGAGCCAAGGTTACATGGTTTAGTAGAGAGCCTGCCACAGGAATGCAGCAAAATGCAGGGAGAGGCTCCTGGCCTGGATGTTGGCAGAGGTCTGGTTTCAGAAGGTGTGGTCCTCATTGGGCAATTTGTGCTGTGCTTCTGGGCTTTGCTCTTGAGCACAGGGCTCCATCCTGTTTCTCAAGCCACCCAACAATTCAATGAGCTTCTTAACGGCCTCATTAAACCGTCTTTTCCACTTACACCAGCCAGGCTGTATTCTGTTATTTACAATTATGAGCCATGAGAATTAGTTTAGAAGGGTGGATGGAAAGAGGTGCCAGGGGACAGGGATTTGTTAGGGGTGTCAGAGAGGTACCAACACGGAGTGATGTCCAAGAGGCAGTTAGCCAAGTGGGCGGGGGAGCACAGACTTGAGAAGATCCTTAGCACTTTGGGGGCTGTGAAGTGCATTGGGATGAGTTTGCAATCTCAGGAAAGTCACTGAAGGGGTGGGAAGAAGCAGAGGAGACTTCAGAGAAAACGAGAAAACCTAGAGGAGATGCTAGCACGAGAGGAGAGCGTAGGTACCTGTGCCAAGTAGGTACCTGGGCCGAATAGGTACCTGTGCCGAATAGGTACCTGTGCCGAGAGACACAAAAGGGCACGCTGAGGAAGAGGCATTGGAGATGGTGCGTTAGGCATGAACCAGGTGAAGGGCCAGAGAAGTAGCTTCCTCAAGTGATGGGAACAAGAGCGGGACTGGATGGGTCCAGGAGAGAGTGAGAAAGGGAAGCAAAACCTACCCTTTCTAGAAGCCACTGGGCAGAGATATCAGAAAGAAGTGCCAGGGATAGGAGAGCAGCCTGGCTTCATCCGTGAGCTCAGAGGAGGAGTTGCACTGTCTGGGCCAGGTGGAGAGAACCAGGAGGTGGTCCACATGGCCAGGTTTCTCATTTGTGGGGAATTGGTGTTCTCTGGTACTACTGTAACTCTGTCTCCTCTTTACACATTCCAGTTATAGAATAAAAAGAAAAGTCTTAGTTCCTTGAAACCGAGGTAGGTTGTGGGGTGAAGATCGTGTGGGTGGGGATCCAGGCTCTCAGGACTAAGCGCACTTGGTGCTGAGTTTTTAAAATCTAAGGAGTCCTGAAGACAAGGTGGGATGGGATCACGAGTTGTACAAAGTCTGGAGAGCTCAGGCACCAGCAGTAGAGTCTATCTGACCCAGATCAGAAGCCGTATTTTCCATGACCTCTCCATGTGGATATCCCACAGTCTGACTGCTTGTGTTTACTTACCATTCTATAGTGAAACAGACCCCTCAACAGGACAGGGTTGAGATGCAGAGCCTTTGGGTAGCGATTTAGTTAGGAGGGCGGTGCCTTCAGAAATGGGTTCGGTGTCCTTACAGAGATGCTAGAGGACTTGCAGCCAGGAAGGGGGTGCTGTCTATGAAGCAGAGTGGGCGCCCGCTTGATGCCGAATTCGCCAGCATCCTGATTTTGAACGTCCCAGCCCCCTTATCTTGAACTCCCTGGACTCCATGACTGCAAGCAGTAGGTTTTTGTTGTCTATAAATCTCCCAGTCTGAGGTATTTTGTTATAGCAACAGAACATATTACGATACTCCTCAGCTCTCAGTCCCTATTCTGTCTGGTCCCTGGAGACAACTTTTCTTTTTGTTCTAACTGGTTTCTCTTCCTCTTCTGTCACTTCTTTTTTTCCTGACAGTTTCTTCTTGGCTTTGTGTAGTTCCAGGTTCTCTTTGATGGCTAGCCTGAATTTATGACCCTACATACAATAACCCAAGCCCTTTTTTCTTCTCTTCTAAGTCTACACTGTCTACCTCAGGAGTTCTTGCCATTTTGTACCATGCATCAAAGCTTATGCCCTGTTCTGGTTTAAGGGTTTTGATGCATAAAGTAATATTACAAAGGAAATCAATTATATTGAACTATAGTTATCAAAAATATCCATTAAAACATATTTATAATATGGTAGTGTATAAGCTTCTTCATTAATATGTCAGGAATCCAACTTAGAAATGCTCTGACAGGCACCACAATTTCCATATAATGGTGAGCAGAAGGGATATTTTAAGGTTTTTGTAGCAATATAATGATACTAAAATAATAGTATTTTTTCTTGGTTATGAGTTATGAGTTTTATCAACCATTTTGTAGGTTTCAGACTGCAGTTAAAAATAGACGAAAACATTAAAATTCAGTTAGAGGTTAGTGAAAATCAAGACAAAATTTTCCTCTTTGCCTAAGTTTATGTGTCTGGATCCTGGTCATGCATTCCTTGGGGGACTGTAGCCCCAGACTAAGAGCTCCTGGTCTGGATGCCTGAGCTCCCTTTGTTCTGTTGTTAACTTCTTATCTTTGTTCTAAAACGTATCACAGCCACCTCAGCAGAAGAACTAATAACAGAAGCGATACATTGTAAGCCATTTAAACAAGATCTGCCACTGTTCTGGCTGAAGAAGCACAGCCTTAAAAGAGGTTTCCTTATGTTTGTAAAGCAGTGACCCTGACCTTAAGACTATCTTAGGAACCTAAACCAGGTCAGGGTTTACACTTGCCAATCCTGCCCGCAGACACACACCCAGACACACCACACACACACATTCTCCTTCCCTCCCTCCCTCCTCTTCTCTCCTTCCCTTCCTCGCTCTGTCTCCATGATCTGCACATGTACACGTGGCTTTTTCACTCAAACCCTCTACTACACGCTATCTGCTGCCCACCAGCCCCTACCATGTCTGCAGATGTGTAGACGTTTGTCCAACACACCTTCTCCACCAGCTTTTTTCCCTCGTAAGCGAACCCATATTTTCAGACTTTCCATCATTTCCCCCACTCCCTCCAACTTGCTTCTCAATTCACCCCACCTCCATCTTCTTGCCTTTGAATTATTGAGGTGCCACAGCTTAGATCCCCCCCACTCACCTCTTTACTCCACATCTGTCAGCCACAAAGTGACCCTGGCACACGCCTTTAATCCCAGCACTTGGGAGGCAGAGGATCTCTGTGAGTTCGAGGCCAGCCTGGTCTAAAGAGCGAGTCCCAGGAAAGGCGCAAAACTACACAGAGAAACCCTGTCTCGAAAAACCAAAAAAAAAAAAAAAAAAAAAAAAAAAAAACCAAACCAAAAAACCCTGACTGTGTCAAGAATGTTACTCTTAGCACATCTGATACCGTGCCCAGCAGTTCCAAGTCCTGACACAGGGGAGGGTCACAGTGAGTGCTTGCTTAATGGAGTTTCTGAAGAAAGAAGCAATGTCACATCTTTCTAAAGCTCCCAGGATCTCTTCTGAGAGTTCCACCAAGTCACCAGCTGTCCCTCCCGCCCCACTCATTAAGCTGGCTCTTCTTCAAGCACTACCATCCAACACAAGAGAATGCTTTTAGTCAATGCCACTATTTTATAAGATTTCCTTGTTACAATTTACTCATGGTAATTGTGTGTTCTGGGAAGGAACTAGGGGAAATGGCGAGAACTGGAGGTCTCAAGGTCATGACGCCAGCAAGCAATCTGGTTCAAAGTCAGTGTGTCTGCCTGTGGGGGCCTGGCGACCAGCCACGGTGTCCGGGCCCACCGGGATTCTCCTCTCACTAGTCATGGATGCCTGCTGACATTTCTGCATGAGAATCCTATTTCTACAAGATGCTTTGAGAAAAAGACATCGTGGATGAATATACCACAGGTTGTGTTTTCCACTTGATTTTTCCCATGTCAACATGAAGGACCCTGGAAAATTCTGCAGAAAGAAACTCCTTAGGTAGGTATACTCAGTGTTCCCCAAATCTCTGGCTGTGGAAAACAATTGTCCATGTAGCACCCATAGACTGAGTACCTCTTTTCTGAATTCCTTGAGACCTGGAGAGTCCCAGGTTTGAGGGCCACCTTTCCAGTTTTGAATATTTGCGTATATACAAGGGTAATCTTGGATGGGGCATAACTCTAAACTTGAATTCTGTCTATTTCATGAACACCTCACATACATAGCCTAAAGGCAAGTTTCTATCGTGTTTTAAGTAATTTTGTGTACACAACATGGTTGCATTGTGTAGAATTCTCCACATGTCACATTATGTCAGAAAGCTCTCCATTTTGGAACTGTCTTGATTTCAGAGTTTTGAGTTAGGGATGCTCGTCCTGAACTAACATACTAGAAAACACACCTTGGAAAAATACTAGCTTTTCTTATCATGGAGAGAAGATGGACGGTCCAATAAGGATCCAACAGTGTCTCTCTGATCTGTCAGAAGGTTGGGACCAGGGGCTTCCCTCCAGTGAGAAGGGCTGTGCTCAGAGGCACCCTCCCATCAGCCTGCCCTCTGAGCTCACTGTGTGTCTGCTTGCAGACAAGGCCGCTCTTATGCTCACCCCATGCTGCAGGAACCCCTAACATGGCTTCTTTCGGCAGCAGCCCAGCCCAAGTTCACTTCGCTACAGGATACTGCCAGGGAGGAACCTGTGTGCTTTCTTATCTTGTGTTCCTGGTTCCCGTACCAGGGGCATTGACTGCTTGTGTGAGTTACCTTTTCCACTGCTGACAGAAGGAAGGAAAGAAGGTTTTATTTTGGTTCACAGCTTGAGTGTACAGCAGGGAGATCAAGGAGACGGAACATGAGGTGGCCCGTCACATTGTATCCATAGTCAGGAAGCATAAGGAGGGGAACGTTAGCCAGCCCTCAGCTCTCTCTTTCTTTAGTCTGAGTCTAGCTCATGGGACAGTCCTCACAGACATGGTAGATCTTCCCTCTTCAATTTCCTTTTTCTGGAAATATCCTCATAGACGTACCAGGAGGTGTGTTTCCATAGTGATTCTGAGGCCAATCAATTAGACATCGAAGACTCATCAGCACACAGGATTTTACAGGTCTAGGGCCTGTAAGAGAGCAGACCCGCCTGCGTATCTGTGAGAGGCATCAACACGGCAGATGCATTTTCTCACTGTATACTGTCTCCATTTGGGGAATTTTAACCTTTTAGGGGTCAGGAACAGACACCACCTCACCCTCTGTCTTCTCAACCACCTCTGTGCTGAATTCAGGGTAAATGCCCACAGGATGCTTGACGGCTGGAGTGTGAGAGAATAAACACTCCTGTAGGCTGCGCAGTTCGGTGTGGGTGAGGAAAAAAAATCGATGTTGCAAATCTCTTAATTCATGACTGAAGCCATTCTCCTGGCCCAAGCAGCGAAGAAGGATGCAGAGACAGAAATGGATAGCAAGTGAATTGCACGCAACTGTTGGAAGCGTGGTGCTCTCGGAAGAGTTAGAGCAACTGTCAAAGTCCCCCGATGTGTCCATTTTTATCAGTTCTGACGGTGATGCCCTGCCATTAGAGATTCAGGTCTCATCTGAGCTCATCTGAATAACGCTGGCGATTGGGAGGGGAGAGAGAGATGAGGCATTGAGAGGCAGCCCTGGATCCGACTCTATAAATTTGAAGGAGGTAGGGGCAGGACAGCCTGGCCTTCTCTGCTTGCCCAGCGCAAGGCAGGGCAGAAGGAAGTGAGAGGCACTGGAGTGGACGGCGTTTGTCTACACCCCGAGTGATCATGAGAGGGACCACGCAAGTCCTCATCGTGTTCCTCCTAGCAACCGTGTCCCACTGTGCCGTGATCACAGGGGTAAGTTTCTAGCCTTCTCCATAGGCTTGGGTTGGGGGTCAAGAGCAGGGTTCTGCACAGGATATGAGCTGAGAACCACGAAGGCCCTGCTGCTCCAATTCACCTAAACCAAAGGGATTTGGGAGGGGGTCACTGCCTAGGAGAGGGGGTGCATGTAATCTTTCGATGGGTCAGACCTCACTCTGATAGAGTGGGGTTTTGAGAAGTTGTGTGTAAATATAATGGTTTTTAAATACGTTGGGAGGGCACTGGGATTTTGACATTGAGTATTTAGTAAAATGAGGATTCCTTAGTGTGTGCCAGGGGAAGTTTCTTTGTAGGGTGGATTAGCGCCTCCCCACCCCCACCCCCACCAAGCCCCATTTGTCTTATCCACACCTTGGTTTTCACCGGTGTCTGGTCTACTCGTCTGTGTTAACTTCCAGAGCATGCTGGTGTGGCTCGGGGAAGAACACAGAGTCCCACCCCAGGTCTACTTTCGCTGTTAGGGAGAATGCGCTGAACACCACCTTTCACTCTTTAGTGGGTTCCCAGGGGAAGATGGGTGGCACCAGCATTGGCAGGATGCACCCCAAACGAGTTAGCAGGGGTTCAGCCCAGGGCCACTGAACACCTCGCTCTGAGCATGGTGGCCTCGCAGATGTCCCACGGAACCTGTCCTCGTCATGTAGACACATGCTGTGTCATGTGCAGGACCATCTTTATCACAAACCAAAACACAGTGTTTCTCCTGGGAGTTTTCCTGGTAGAAGTCAGGAGAAAAAAAGAGAGAGAGAGAGAGAGAGAGAGAGAGAGAGAGAGAGAGAGAGAGAGAGAGAGAACTTTTATTTCAACCTCCTCCAACCTTTTACTTGGAAGGTAAGTGTGGATAATGCTGGTCAATTCCTGGAACTGGATAAATTTTAATTTTCACAGAAAAAGCAACCTCACTGTCATTTTCTTAGGAAAGGGAGTCCATTCAAAATAACACACAGTGCAAGCGGATGCTTTGAAGGCAGAATTGCGTCTAGTGAGTGTGACTGTGGAGAGAGCCTGCTTGTGTTTGCCCTGAAGACCGGGGCCTCAGACCCCGGAGAGACGAGAGGATTGCCACACAGAGTGAGGTTTGGGAGCACACAGCCCGATGAGCTGCTCCTTGTCAGGGTCACCAAGCCAGCTCCAACATCTGTCCCAGAGTGGCAACAGGCAGAGAGGCCTAAGGGAGGTGGGACATTTCTTAGTAAGGAGCACAGTGAGGTAAGAGGGTCGGGTCAGTCAGATGGAGCGAATGAATGGCCAGATGAATGCTTGGTCAGAACACAGTGTTGAGGGGAAGGAATCCAGGAGTGCCCAGCTGCCCTCCGTTTCCCATGTCCCTTTGATGTCCCTCTTATGACTCCCAGAAAGACACCAGGTCCTGACCTCCGCACTCCCTTGCTCCTTAGACAGCGACAGTCCAGGCTGTAGGGCCCAACCCCCCAGAGTGCCACGCCTGCCACTGTCAGGGGCGGAGAGTCCCCTGGGACTTCCTTCCCCAACCCTGCATTCTCAAAGGACTGGTTTCGCTGGCTTGGGTGTGAGAAGTGCCCCTGCTGGGTTAGAGAGTCACTGCTGGTGACCCTCACCTGTACCTTCTCTGGTGGCATCCTCACCTCTTCATCTGGAAAGGCCTGGAGCTTCCAGGTTCTGTCATGTCCCACGCCGGCAGACTGAAGGTTCTTTGTGGCCTGCCACTGGAGAAAAACGAATCGCAACTCAGCTTCCAGCTTCAGCTCTGAAGCCACTTGGCCACTGTGCAGTGTGGCCAGGCTGGCCGTTTCTCCATTTTTCCTACCTGCTTTCTTGACCCTGGCTTTGGTATAAAGTGGGCGCCTTTGACCTTTTCTTACATAGGCATTACCCAGGAACCCAGCAGGTCCAAACAGCCCAAACCAGAAGGGTCCATGTCAGGGGCCCCGAGAGGCCAGCGGAGAAGCACTGGGGGAGATACCCGTCCACAGGCCCCTGGGTTAGGCCGTGGGATTCAAGCAGAGAGGCAGCTGACAATGCCAATGCACGCTGGAAGACAGAATTCTCTGCGCCCCTCCCGCCCCCCCCCCCCCCGAGATAACTCAGCAGGGAGCATCCATGGCTTTGGACCACCAAAGACTCCCCTTTTGCCCCCAACCAGAGTTCTGAGTTCTGAGTTTGGCCCCAACTGAGTTCTAACTCAGTCAATTGTACCAGTGTTGACTGGTATTAGAAAAGCTATGCCTTCTAACATAGGTCTCCTCAGGGGATGGGGACTGCCCTGTCACCAAGCTGGGATGGTTCCCCAGGTTGAGGTCGGGTAGTGTGCTGAACCCTGAGTGTCCTGCCTGAGACAAGCAGTGGTTTTCCAGCCAACATGTCCTGTTAATCCCCGGCACTCAGTCACTTCCTCCAGACTCCAACGAGGAAGGCTTAGCGCTCCCTTTCCTTTGTTCTCTTGGTTGGCACTAACAGGCTGGCCCTTTCTCCCTCCTGTAGGCCTGTGAGCGAGATGTCCAGTGTGGAGCGGGCACCTGCTGTGCCATCAGTCTGTGGCTGCGTGGGCTGCGGCTGTGCACCCCACTGGGTCGGGAAGGAGAGGAGTGCCACCCAGGAAGCCACAAGGTACTCCGCTGGCACGGGACGGGCATGTGTGTGAATGAGCATGGGCAAGCAGACAGGGATCCTGGGGCCTGGATGCAACTTAGACCGTGGAGTCTGTGGCTTCTGATGAGGATATGGGGAAGATTAATACTGCGCCCCCCACAGTGGATCCAGCCTAACTGAAAGAAGGGAAGCAGACCGCCATGGGGAGGCTGCTCCAGGCAGCAGCCTTACTTAGGCCTGCAGATGCTGTCTGGACATGGGTTTGGGTGCTGACATTTGTCCACCTGCACCCTTCTAGACAGGCTGGAGAAACAGTTAGGATTTGATCTTTAAAGCATTACTGGGTTTTCATTAGCAAGCTGAGGCACGATAACAGATCATGTGACTCGCCCAAGGCACGGTCTATGAGATGGCTGGGACTAGAATGGAGTTTTCTGAAGTCAACCACAGCCCTAGGCCACTGGTGCTGGGTACAGCCTCCTTGGTTTTTGTGGAGTGCTCCAGCAGTCACAAAAGCGGCTCGCCATTCAGGCTGGCCACCCTCAGCTTTCTACCAGCTGTGTTTAATGAGAGCAGGGTAGGTAACCCTGAAGTGACAGTTTTAAAATGTCCTTTGTTCTTAGGAACAGACTCTCTTTAAGAACACAAAATGGCCTCCTGTACAGGGCTGCAGCTAGAGCAGGGTACACTCTCTAAGAAGGACTTCCTCTTCTGTGCCCTGCGCAGCTAACTCTGCGACTGTCTCTAGCCCCCCAGGGCACAGGACAACCAAGGGGCTCTTGGCTTTGGGAGGGTCAGATGACGAGGTAGCTGCAACCTGTAGCCTTTGGAGTGTGGGGCCACTAAGTGTCAGGGACCTTGCTGGGCTGGACCTAAGCACAGCCAGTGCCCCTTAGCAGTCTTTGGAGCTCTGGTGACTTGTCTGTACAAGCTCCAGGGCTCATCTGGAGTCAGAGAATCTTCCAGCAATCTCTCCTAATGCCCCTCAAGGCCACTGATTTGTTTTTAAGCATCTTGGGCTCAGGAAGCTGAGAGCTGAAAGCTCTCCCACCCTCATTGCCTTGGGCTATGGGAGATGATTCAGAATGATTCACGCTCCCAATAAGGATGTCAGCATTAACATAAACCAAATGCTGAGCACTCCCTACAGGCCATCTGTCCACAGTAAGTGTTCAATAAATATACAGTCTCAGTCTCTGTATAGCCATAGAGCCATTTAGGAGCTATTAACCCATTTTATAGATGATAAAGTCAAAGCTCGGCAAGGGCAAACAGGTAGTCAGTTGTCACCGATACGGTAAACAGCAGGTCTGGGATTCGAACCCAGGTAGGCCGGTGCTGGACCTAGTCTCCTTATCACTCTATTTAAAACCCATGGGGGTGGGGTGGGGGGTGAGATGATTCACAGGTAAACGAGCTTACTATGAAAACACAGGGGCCTGAGTTTGGTTCCTAGAACAGACATAAAGGTGGAAGGACAGAACAGACCTCACGAGTTGTCCTCAGATCTCCACAGGCATGCTCTCCCCATTGCGCCCCCACACATACAATAACACACATATAAACAAATGTCTTTCCCGACCACAGAGCTGAGGGCACCACCAGTAAGCAGAGAGATTCACTTGCCAGAGGTGTGAGAGCGTTTGCAATTGTGTGTGCAAGAGCGTGCGCATGGCCACAGGTGTTCTGAGTGCAGAGCATCAGCCTTACCTGGGTTCAAATCCTAGCTCGTCCACGAATTAGCTGGACGATGCTGTCATGCCATTTTGTCACTCCGTGCCTTGGAGTGGTCTCCTATAATCACCGTTATTGTTGGTTGGGAGGAGACATTTGCAGGCCTTCCCTGTGGCTGATGGACGGCTTCCTTCTCTCTCCAGGTCCCCTTCTTTAGGAAACGCCAGCACCACACCTGCCCCTGCTCACCCAGCCTGCTGTGCTCCAGGTTCCCGGACAGCAGGTACCGCTGCTCCCGGGACCTGAAGAACGTCAACTTTTAGTGTGTCTGGGCTCAGGATCCCTCCTGGGTGGCCTCTTCTGCATCACTTCTGTGTGATTTAGTTCCCTGAGATTGCTCCACTCCCCACCCTGTCCATTGCACACGTGTGAGCAGATGGGCACACCTTCCACTGTGGAATGCCCACGGGTGTGTGCAGAGGAGGCTACGGCCTTGAGAAGTTGACCAGCCCTGCCCAGACTGCCTCAAGTTGTGACGTTGCGTTTCTCCCAGTTGTCTCCCCTTCCTGCATGTGCCCTTCTTCCTAAATCACACCTTCCTGGCCACTGGCCCTCGGGTGCATCACTAAATCACAGGTCCTGTGGAGAGAAGGACCAACAGGAGCATTCATTTCCTTGACTGACTAGCTCCTTATTTTAGGACCGTAGGTACAAATTCAGCTTTTCTCCGGGCACCACTCGAAAGCAAGAGGATTTCAGGGTCTCTTTGAATTGGGGGTGGGAGGCAGCTCAGAGGGCCTTGGCTATGTGTGTATGGGGTCTTCTGGGAAGGGCTGGGAGTGTGGGGAAGCTCTGCTGAGGGGACAGCATGGGCCTACTTCAACTCTCAGAGCTGAAATTCAGCCCCTTTGGGTTTATGTCAAATATTTGACCCCAGCAGGCCACATGTGCCCAGTGATAGGTAATTTGCATCAGTGAGGGAGCTGGCAAGGCCTTGAGCATTGAGTCTGAACCCAGGCCTGGGAGCTTTCTCTACAGGCAGGTATAGCCAACTCTTCCCACCTCCATTCTTATTCTAGGTACAGGGTGTCCAACAACACTGTGATGAAATGTTGCCGTCTACCAAGTTCAGAATGGGGCAATCAAGTTGCAACAACAAAATCTCCTTTTAAGGAAGCTCACAATTTTGTCTTGGCCACATTCACAGCTATCCACAAACAAACAAAACAGAACAAAACCAAACAACAACAAACAAACAAACAAACAAATAAAAAACACCCTCCCGGGCCCACCAGGCTGGGCCTTGAACAGCGCAGGGACCGTTCTGTGCTTTTGCCCCTGCTCTGCTGACCTGTGCCACCTTTCCTGCGTGCAGCCCACAATCTCTATCCCTCTGGGCTCCAGGCCCAAGTCCAAGCTGTAAAGTTCCTTTCCAAGTCAACGGTCCCATGATCCTCCTCGTCTGACGGGCTCCACTCACTGCCCTTGGGTATTGACCTCCAGCTTGTGTCCCTCCCTGCTCACAGAGCAGCCCCGAGTGCAGTGGGCAGCAGCCAGTGCCTGATGCCCCAGGAACAAGACACGGGGGTGCCCTGTGGCGCTCCCTTGCACATCGCCCTGTTGCCCTTCCATCCTGGCCTCAGAGCAGGCCACCGGCAGACCCACAGGGTGAATCAACAATTTAACATGACCGCACTCATTTTCATTTTTAATGTTGTAATTTTGAGGAATGAGTGATGAGCCTCTGCCTCAGTTCTCTGCTGTTGCCAAAGATAGATGGATAAACAGCGGAGAGGTTGGAAGGCTTAGGGAAATGTATCCTTTACATTCAGCAATATGCTCTTCAGAAATATGGCTATAAAAAACTCCCTATAGAGAGAGTATGCCCCTAAGACGAATGTTTTCAAGGAGAATAAGGTCAGGTGAAGTTGACAGACACCCTTTCAAGATCCATCCACAACTTCAGTGACAGGCCCAACTCTTTCATCCTCAACCATTGGTGTCTGGCGCCCTCTCGTGGACCAAGTGGAAGTAGCAAGGAGCGTGAAGGCGAAAAGAGGACGGGGGCTTCGGGCAGGTAGGAGTAGTTCTTCCGGCATACCCTGCTTTGGAGTCCACTGGAGGTCCAGAACAACGTGGCCTTATAAAGAAGCCTGCCACCGGGAGAACCACCAGAACCACTCTTTATTAGCACTCGGACCCCGCCCCACTTTGAAGTGGCCCGGGAAGCCGCTGGCCCTTCCTGTTTAGGGCAGGTGCTGTGATTTCCCTGATCTCAGGTTCTCTAGAATGAGAGAGCAGATGTGGCTAAGTTCGCCCTTCCCCCGTCTGTGAATCCCCCGGATGTAGCAGGGTCAGCAGAGCCGCCTCGGAGGCTCCTTCAGCACGTGGGCTCCTCCTCATCGCTGTTCCTCGGTCAGCTGCTGTTCTCATCACCCCAAGTCTCTAGGTAGCCAGGGCCTAGAGATCCCGGCGCTCCAGGACGGAAGGGCCAGACACAGAAGGGCAGAGGCCAGAACGGAGACTGTGCAGGGACATGTGCCGCCAGGTCTGGTGCCAGGGCCTCCTCTGTCTGCTGTTCGGCTTCGATCCTCTCTCAGTGTGGTCCTTGTTAGCATCCCGAGTGAGGTCGGGTAAACACCGGTTAGCTGTAGTTCCAGGCAGTTATCACCAGCCGATGAAGGGGTTCCTGAAGGCAGCGACTAGAGGCGAGACCCAGGGAGGGGTAAGAGGTTCCTGAAGCTGAAGAGAAAGATCGTCTAGGGGAGGGAGGCTGCAGGGCTCGACAGTGGCTCAGAGCTGAGCCTGCAGAGTGGAGCCAAATCACCCACCCGAATCAGCTCTCAGACCAGCCCAAGAGTCAACACTGAGAATCTACAAAATAAATAAATAAATAAATAAATAAATAAATAAATAAATAAATAAATAACCAGAACCTGCCTTGTAGACAGAGAAGCACCTGCTGGCCCAGGGCACACTCTGGGTGTCTTGAGGGACGTTTTCCTGGACCAGGGATTGGCAATGAGAGCGAAGAACTTCCCTGACACAATTAGCTCCTTTTCATCCAGATGAGCACACTATGATCTCCAAACATGGACTATTACTCGGCCCTGAAAAGAAATAAGGTACATACATGCTTCATAGCGTGAATGGCCCTTGACATCCTTAGACGAGAGAAGCTTGTCATAAAAGGCCACATTTGCACACTTCCACGGATGTGAAATGTCCACAGCCGGCAAACCCACAATAGAGAAAGTAGGTCAGAGTCGGCTAGGATTGGGGTGGGGTGAAGGTATAAATTTGGAGTAATTGTTAAGGAGTTCAGGTTTCTTTAGGGGTGACAAGAATTTTCTAAAATTAAACTGTGGAGGCGGCTGTGTAGCAGTCAATATCTCCAACGTCATTAGAGTGTACAGTTTATGAGGGTAAATGATGTACCGCATGAATCATACCACAATAGGAGGAGAGGAAAAGTGTCCCCCTGAAGGAAGGACCAGGTGTGGTGTGATGAGGAGACCCCCAGTGTCTCCTGTTGGGGAAGGTGGGCACTGTGTGTTGCAAAATGGCTTGGCTTCCCTTCGAATAGGAATAACCATTTTCTAATTAATACTCATTTTGTGGTGGGTAGGAGAGTAAGTACCTAATTAACTAGAGCTACACATAGTATCATGTGACCCAAGCTACGTATAGTCACCCTCTGAACCCTGGGGGCTCTTCATGGGAATCCCACCCGTGGATCAAACATATTAAAAAGTGCGTCTGCATTGAATGTGCGTACTTTTTCTTGTTATTCTCTGAACAACACATGTGACTCTGTGGCAGTGTGTTGTGTCAGGTTTTATAACGGACTGAGGAAGGGTTAAAGCATGTGCGAGGGTGTACATAGGTACATGCCAAGCTCATGCCGTTTTCTCCAAGGGACTTGAGCACCCTTGGATTTTGGTATCCCTTGGGGGTCTTGGAACAATCTTCTGTGGTTTCCAAGGGGTGTCACTATCTCTTTTCGTATTTGGAATTTGTGGTTTTCTCCCTCAGGCCCCGTCTTGAATAGAAGTTTCGATGCTGCAATAGTCTACATGAAGTCAGTTCACGAAAGCACTAGACGGTGCAAGGTAGACCCGGGCGGGGTTCCAGTGTGTTGTGACTGTGGTGTCTTTAAATGAACACAAGGACTGTTTCCCCTTCCCTGGAGGGCACTGCCTTGTCTACCTTGGCAGGAGCAGAGAGTCTGACATACAGTTAATGGGCACCAAGTCCTCTCTCTATCCGGGGATGTTTGTACCCCTGTTAGAATCACATCATGCATGCTGAGCCCTGGGCAGGGACAGGCTGTGGTGTGTGAAGACTACCCTCTCTCACCCTGCTCCCCAGATGGGGCTGTTTAGCCCCAGAAGCCCAGAGCCACGAGACCATGGAGGCAAACAAACTTCAGATGGGCGAGAATGAGCTCCCCGGAATGATTTTCCCTTCAACACACGTAAAGAAAGGGCCGTGGTTCCCCATTCTGTGCAGCTAGCACTGCTCCAACCTTCCCTAGCTCTCCTGCTCGTCTGGGGAGAATAGCGTAGTGCTTGGGTCTCTCTCTCTCTCTCTCTCTCTCTCTCTCTCTCTCTCTCTCTCTCTCTCTCTCTCTCTCTCTCTCTCTCGTAGCCCTGACTATCCTGGAATTCATTATGTGGTCCAGACGGGCCTCACCCGTATGTCAATCCTCCTGCCTCTACCCCTCAAATGCGGGGAATCACAGGTGTGACCTCAACAGCCGGCTGCCTAGGCAGGGAGAGGCACTGAAAGATAAGGAGCTGTGAGCGTGCTTCTGACAGAGAGCCAGAGAGGAGCCCCCGAAACTTGTCACAGAAGCAAAGCCCGAAGGTTAAGTAAACGGACACACCTATAGTTGCCGTTTCCTTTGCTCACGGTGCGGGTTGGTTGGCGCCGCTCAACAAGCGGCTGCAGTCTTCATGTCCGCTTCCTGACAAGGGGCCGTCCAGTGCTTGGCCACACAGCCTGCGCAAGCTTGAGCCCTGCTCCAGCTACTTCCTAGCTGGGGACTTTGGTCACTTTACTGAACTTTCTGTGCCTCCGTTTCCCCCTCTATTAACGACGACGACAACAACAGCAACAATAGCTCCTGCCTCTTGGGGTTGCAGTGAAGATGAAATGTGAGTGTATGGGAAATGCTCAGGTTGTCACCCACCATTCGGAAGCAGCATGGGGACGGTCAGGTACTTACTCTTCTTCTTTATGAAGACGTCTCGAAGGAACACTTGCTCCTTGGCCCAACCTCGGGGGGTTTTTGTGCCACACCCCTCTCTAAACCACCAGAACTTGGAGGTCCCTCCTTAGTGGGGGAAGCCAAACAGCTCGGAAGGATGGAAAAGCATTTTGGATGCAGTTCAAAGGCCCCAAATCTGAACTTAGCGGCAAGAAACCCCAGTGTGTTCAGTGTTCATTCCTTGCCAAATTCAAGTTCACACACGGGTTCCTGGAGGCAGAGCCTGATAACAGCTGCGATTAGGAAGAGATGCACCCACCATCTCTCTGTCCCCACCCTGGCTTGTCCCAGACTGTGGGCAGGGCAACTTTATCATGAGCACACATTCCTTGGAACAGGCCTCGCCAGCAGTTTCCAGCTACGGCAAGTGGCACAGGGTGGATTCTGGGGTTATCAGCAGGGTTCAGTTGCAATTACCAGGCCCCTCATGAGCTCTCTAGCTGTGACTCCCATATGGTAGTTCTGTACTTTTTACCTTCGTAGAAGCCTTACCTCAGCATGTCAGTCAATCCAACCGTTGGAGGAAATCAATTCAACAAATAACACAAAATCGACACTGCTTTGCAAGGAGCGGAGGCAGCTCCCGTTTGCTAAAGCCCCAGTCCATGTGTGGACTTCATATTAGAACAAGGCTCAGCACAGCTGCCGGGCTAGCTCAGTCAGTCAGGCCTGCGCCGTGCGAGCCGGAGGATGTGGAATTGATTCCCACGTTAAAGAAACAACGGTTGGGTGTGCTGGTGAATGTTTGTGGTTGCCGTGATGAGGAATCAGAAGTAGACTTGGGGCTAGCTAGTCAGGCAGCCAGCCGAGCTGAGTCAGCAAGCTCTGGGTAAACGTGAGAAATCCTGTTTCAAAAACAGAGTGGACGGCTGATGCGCTGGGTCAGTGAGCAGAGGCGTTTGTGTGCATGCCTGACACCTTGAGTTTACACCGTGGATCCGACAAGGTGGCGAAGGAGAACCGACTCCTGAGAGTTATCCTTGGACTTCCATGAGCACGGTCGTGTACACACACACACACACACACACACACACACACACACACACACACGCACACACACACAGAGATAAAGAAAAGTTTTAAAAGTAAACAAGGCAGAGAACAACTGAGAAAGATACCCAGTTTGACACTGGTCTCTACCTGCGTACACACATGTGCACCCCTGTATGAGCACACATATGCATACACACACCAAGAAGTCCCGGGATAGTAAAGAAGGCAGGAAGAATGGGGCATGCTCCTTCCTCCTCCTTGATGTTTAAGACAGGATGCTTGAATTCATGTAGCCCAGGCTGGGCCTCAAGCCCAGGTTGTCCTAAAACTATGTAGCCAAGAATGACCTTGAACTTCTGATCCTAATGCCTCTAGCTCCCAACTGCTGGGATTACTTACAGGTATGTGACACCACATCCAGATTTCTTCTTTTCCATAATGTTTTAGACTTTACCCTAAATAGACCCGTCCAGTATGTTGTTTCTCGTGGCAGCCCCTTCCAATCTGTGAACTGCTCCATGGAGCCAGTCAGTTCAGTTCGCGGTGAAGACTGTAAGAAAGATTATTCCTAATTCCCACAAGGCAGCAAGCCTTAGGTTGAAAGCACTTACGCTGGATGTTAGTTAGGAGTCGAGAGGGAAACAAACTGTTATAAATTAATGTTGCTGGTGATTAATATTTGCTATTTTTAACACATATTCATCTCAGGAAAAAGCCTTCCTTAATGAACATGGCTGGCTGGTGAGCGGCGTTTTCACTGATGTGGGCTTCCTGAACGTCTTCAGGTAAGGATCTTCAGAAGACAAAAGGTGCAGTCTCATGTCGGGCTCTCTGGTGTGTGGTGGTCCAGCCATGTCTGCAGAGCTGCACTTGAGGCTGGGCCTGTCCTCCACGGCACGCCCCCCCCCCCCAATCCTTTCCTCTCCTGGAGAAACCCCTAGTTGATTCCATCATGTCCTGGGGGGCCAAAGGCATTTCTTTAGTCTAGGTTTTGCTAAGACAAGGGGCCTGTCCCTAGGCTGTTATTGGGGGGGGGGGGGTGGGTTGCTCTACCTATCTTATTTTGTCTGTATAATATAAAAGTTAACGCTTACCCTTGTTTCAAAGGTGCATGTTTGCCCCCCAAATCCACATTTCTGCTGTTTCTTGGAAAACGGCAAACCCTGGAATCTCTGTTTTGGGCTCTCTTCACGGAGTTAACTGGTGATCCACCTCTCTCTGTCTCCATGTAGCCAAATCCACCATTATCTGGGTGTCTATCATCTGATGGCTATGTAGATGTTAAAGTCTGACCTGTGGATATTTTGGTCTGCATGGTGTTTACTTGTGAAGCATTTTAAAAAATTAATTTAACTAAAAAAAGAAGGGAATTGAATTCACTAGATTTTTTTGATATTTATTTTTAAACTTGGAATACAAACAGTATTATTGTAGTAAAAATGGAGGGAAGAATTCTGGCAGATTTCCCTCACATCAGTCACCATATGCTTTCACATCCCCCGCCTGGCCCCAGGGAGCACCTGCTACCTCCTCATGCCCAGTGTCACCAGGCCAGACTTTCTCACCTGCTGAGAGAGGCCGCA